CTGCTTTCTTATGGTGGTGGTGTTACTAAACCATGGGACTGTTTCTGTCTCTAGAGTTCAAGGAAGCCTTTTCCCTATTTGATAAAGATGGTGATGGTACTATCACAACAAAAGAACTTGGAACTGTCATGAGGTCACTGGGTCAAAATCCAACAGAAGCAGAATTGCAGGATATGATCAACGAGGTCGATGCTGATGGTAAGTGTTGGAAACATGATTCTTAGTGCTGTGACCATCCAGAGTGTATGTTCTACATGCTTGGGCCTCGACTGTGCAAAGAAAATCTTGACATTGCTCTCTCTACTTGAAGCAATGCTTTAAAAAAACTTGAATATAAAGAATATGTAAACATATGTATATAAAACAGGGTGGTTAGTGTTCTGCTTCCTTTCTGTGCAGAACAGAAGGATGTCAGTAATTTTAGAATTTAACAGAGGATTGACAGAGGCAAACTAATACTTGAAAAGGTCTTTTTTTTCCCTGGTTTTAATACTTATGAGTCACAAGCTTCCTTTTGTTACCTGGCTTGCCCTGACCTGCAGTTAACCCATATTCCACACAGCTTTTTCTTTGTTCCCTTAGTCAACCTGTTCTGGTCTTTACCAGAATTAATGTACTTTTATGTTTAAGGCCAAAAATATGGTGAGGATGGACTAATACTAAACTCTTGCTCTAGGAAGAGCTGAAAATGCAAGTGTCTTGCTTGTTGCATTTAATATTTACTGGTTTATTAATAGATGTGGAAGGGTGTTCTTAGGCTGTTAGATTGGAAAAGCAAGGAACTGCTCAAATACTAAAGTTGATCAGAATCATTTTAAATGGATGCCAGAAAAGGTAACTGCAAGCTGTATTTTGAGGCTCTAGTCAGGCTGTCAGTTACAAAAATAAAAATGCCTCCCCTGCTCAGTAGCGCCAGAGATTCAATCTTGAACGTTGGCTGTTGTGATAATGAAGTTTTTGTATTTTCTCTTGGCGGGGGAATAAAGTATATTGGCAAGGGTATGGATTGCTTATTACAGATTACACTAGTAAAGAATTATTTTGTGTAAAGTGTAAGATGACCCTAACTGTAGTTAACCTACAGCTCTTGGGTGCTGGTACCAAGAAGCTTTCTGATACTCAAGGTTTGAAGTGCTGTATAGCCCTTGTGTATAGTGATGTTTCTAGGCTCTATTTCAGTAGCCACTTCACATTAGTATGCCCTGCCTTGTTTTTATGGTAGAGTCCTTTGCTATTATTCTGCATTTTCATTGTTGTTTCTTTTTAAAGCTGAGTATAAGACCTGTATTCCAATTAAGCTAGTAAATAAGGCTGGCCATGAGTATAAATAGCTGTGGATGTCTCTGAATGGGTGATCCCTAAACTGCAAGATCCCGAACCATTCACCTCTACCTCCTGGAAGAAGGGGGGGGGGGAAGGGGGAGAAGGCAGCTCTTTGTTGTACAGAGGTTGTCTTAAGGCATTGTCTTGGAATACACAGCTGTATCCTGATTTACTAATCTAATTTATACCATTTCTAACAACCTCAACTGCTTTACCATATTATCTTTCTTGCAGCTTTTGACAACCTTAAAGTTGAATCTTTATTGTGAGTTGAGAACTTGCAAGTCTTAGGCATGGGCTGTGGACATGGCTGGAGATTTTCAGTCTGTCAGTGAAATAGCATTGTTGTGGATTCTTAAGTTGTGTGTGTGTTTTTTGTTTGTTTGTTTGTTTTCTCCTCTCCAGAAATATTAAGTAATAGCAGCTTTCCTTGTCAGTTGAATTTGCAGATACACAATTCTGAAAGGCAATAAGTATCTTCTGTGGTATGCAGCATACATATTTCAATATTTCTTTTTTTTTAAACGAGAAGCAAATATTTGATAGTTTTGGTTTTTGTGTTTTTTCTTTTTTTAATAACTATTTGAGCTCTTCACTGCAGCTGTTTTTTTTTTTTTTTTTTAATCAGATGGGGGCATTTAACTTTTACTGCAGTTTAAATATAGTCTGTTCTGAGTTCCTGCAGCAGTTTAGATTTTTAGTTGACAGCTAGCTTTGGGCAGTGGTGCAACACAAAGATTTCTGTTTGCATCTGCTAACCTTTCAGCATAGGTGGTTTTACACAGCTGAGGTGGTGATGAGGTGGTTTCACTTGGAGAGAAAGCAACAGTGAGTTCTGTGGCACTGAAACACTGCAGTGACGAGGGCTACTGTGCACTGTAAAGGCAAAAAAAAAAAAAAAAAAAAAAAAGCAATAGTAATTTAGGGAAGATCAAGTTCTTGCATAAGAACAGTTTACAGAGAATCTGTCAGCCTGATTCTTGTCCCTGGTTAATTTAAGACAGCTTTTTTCTTTATAAAGTATAGGCATTTAATTTTTAAAATTTCTTTTCATTAAGGCAATGGCACTATCGACTTTCCTGAATTCCTAACCATGATGGCCAGAAAAATGAAGGACACAGACAGCGAGGAAGAAATCCGTGAGGCATTCCGAGTCTTTGACAAGGTATTCCTAAAAGGGCAAGCATTCTTCAGAAGCAGTAAAGCATTTTTTTTCCTCCTTCTAGACAAGGAGAGAAAAGCACTGAGGAAGTCTCCCCTGCTAGAAGCAGGGGAATAGAGGCCTGTTGCAGAGCAGGCTGGTTGTACCCGCTTACATGGCAGGACTGCAGGACTAAGCTTAAGGCATTTCTAGGAAGAAAGATTTTTTTGGCCTTTTCTTAGAAGTGGGTACCAGTAGGACTTGCAGGGGGAGTGGTTTCGTTTTGGTGGTGCCTTTGCTATGTTCCCTTCTAACCTTCTCACTTCAGAGGACAGGGAAATAGTTGCATGGATGCAGAGCACTTTGTGCTTTATGAAGACTTTCGAAGCTGAAGTCATGTCATCAGTATTTACAGGAAACAAAACATCACATGCTGTGTCTCCAAGATGAGGACTTTGAGGTTGTGGCAGAAACCTTAAGAGCTCAACTCCTTTCATGGTCATTAAGGACACCTGAGCATATATGATGAAGAGGCTGTTCTTAAGATAACTTATCAAACAGGAGTTTTCCACCTTGGATTGCTTGGATTCTACAATTGTAACAAGAGAATGATTTTGTGCAATGACTGGTGCATCTGCTAAGCTGGTGTATACACATGTGTACAAGGAGGTCTCACTTTTCTCCTATTTTCCATGTAAAATTGCCAGCTTCTGGTCCTTTGCAGGGATATGTGCTAGAAGAAAATGTTTTGACTGGATAGTACTTCATCTACCTTCTGCAGATTAGATTTTTGTTGTTAATTCCACTGAGACCATTTGTTGACTAGTGATGGTATGTTTGACACCATCTGAAATCCTGCTGTAAAAACTACTGTCCTAAACTAAACTCTGATCCTCTGTGCTGACTGAAGAGGACAACTTCAGAAATGGTTGTGCCTGTGCTCTAAGTTTGGATATTATTAATAGAACTAATGGAATACAGACATAACTGGCAAAAAAGGAATTATACTTGTAAGCTTTTCACAACTACATTTAAGTAGAATTTACCTCCCCCTCAACCCCCCAAGTGCAGGACTTGTAGAATATCTTAGCTAGGCTTCCTGGCTATCTGCACTCTGGTTACAGAAGCAGTGTCTTATGTAATACAAACCTTTTCAAAGTGATATGACTATTGCTTAGTGTAGGGATATATAGACTTCAGTTCACCAGATCCCCCTAGTTTCATAAGGCTAATTCAAAAGCAGTCTGTGGAAACCTGATTTGAGGTTGGGTTAATCTCAGGATTGTTGATCTTGGTTTTGTGCACTTTTTCCCTCACAGGATGGCAATGGTTATATCAGTGCGGCAGAGCTACGTCACGTTATGACAAACTTAGGAGAAAAGCTAACAGATGAAGAAGTAGATGAAATGATCAGAGAAGCAGACATTGATGGTGATGGGCAAGTCAACTATGAAGGTAAGATGCTCATCTTGACTTGAAACGGTCTCAAAGATTTTGAGTGAAGGTCTGTTGGCTTTAAATTATTCCGGAGATAACTCTCTAAGCTTATTCAGTTCCCCGCTTGTGTGGGCAAAAGCAAACTTCTTGATTCAATGAAAGCTTTTGCACTGCTTGTGGTTGAGACTTAACTAACAGCTGATAGTGACTTTTTATCTTTTCAGAATTCGTACAGATGATGACTGCAAAGTGAAGAGACCTCCTTTACACCTTTTTTCCTCTAGAAGAATCAAATTGAATCTTTTACTTACCTCTTGCAAAAAAAAAATGTTCATTTATTCATTCTATTTCTGTATAGCAAAACTGAATGTCAAAATACCTTCTGTCCACAAACTGCATGTAATGGTTGGTGGTCCTGTCCCCAAAAGATCAAGTTAAACATCAGTTTTACAATATAAATAATTGTACTACCTTGAAAATAAAAAAAAAGGAAGCACTTAGTGAACTCAAAAGTTCCATTTGCTAATGACTATTACACTGTTTGGGCTGGCCAGTTTTTCATGCATGCAGCTTGACAATTGAGCACAGTCAGACATTTGTATTAAAAGGAAAAAAAAAAACCCAAATCCACTCTTTTCTTCAACAGTGGATTTTAGTTCAATTTGTAGTATAAATTGTCATAGCTGGTTTACTCTAAAATTGGTTTATACCTCAGGATGGTATGCAGCAAAAGTGGTTGAAGGATTCAAAACTTAGAGAAAATGCCCTAAAGGTCGAATGGTTCTCCTGTACGTAGCAGTGTGCTCCAAAAATATGATGATCTTAACTATGGATGGCATGTCTGTGTTATAATATTGGTTTAACATTGTCTGCATTGCACTATAGTGAAACGGGTGTCGGGCTGTTACCGTTCACAAAATTTTTAAAAGAAACCTTCACCAAGGGAGCATCTTTGGACTCTCATATTTTTAAAACCTTCTGTACCATGACTTGGAGCTGGCGGAGTAGCCTGTGGACTTCAGCACAACTATCAACATCGCTGTTCAAGATAATACAATTTATGTCCATTCCAAGTTGTAAATGCTAGTCTTTTTTTCCAATAAAAGACCATTAACTTAAAGGTGGTGTTAAATGCTTTGTAAAGCTGAAATATATATAGAATTGAGATAATAAACCAAAAAAGCAGTAGGAGGGAAGTGTTCCTATGAATGACTTGCTGCTAAATTATAATGCACATGTATGCAATAAGTTATCCCCTATCTTTTCAAGATGGCAAGAACTGACCTCCTGTAACCCAAGACCTTTGCTATAAATAAATGAACTTGTGCTTGCCTTTCATATTACGACAATGTTAATTTAGTTGGTCTCAAAGTCGTGTAATGCTGACTCGTCAACTATCAGCATAGAAGTAACACCTCATTTCACTAGAGTGGAGAGCTCTCAGCATGCATGTTAATACTGGGGAAACGTGTAGGTTTTTGATTTTTTTGACAGGTTATAGAAATGAGTTGGAGAATTTAAACAGCATGGACTTTATAGATCTGTGATTCTCAAACATGCCAAAAATGCATTTCTCTACCCACAGAAAGAAAACAGGACATTTATTTTATGATGTATTAAAAAAAAAAAGCCTTTTTGGAATCTTGGGCTATTGTTCTTGACTAACTTATCAAACACTTGCATGAATTTTGTGGGGTGGAGAAGAGGACTAGGGTTAATTTAAGAAACATCTTGTTCCTTCTGTTTTGCATGCACTAGCAGTGCTTAGTCATTCCAGGTCTTTGAGTAAAGTGTTCTCTGAGTCCTTCAGCTCCCCTGTGAATGAGTGGCAAAGCAGCCATTTTTGTTCTTGTTTGTTTGAAAGAAGAATGCTCTTTCCTTTTTTCCCTCTTTTTTATTTTTATTTTTTAAATTACAGAGCCTCCCTTTGGAAGGCTTTTATATTTGGGAGGGAGGGACTACAGCTTAATTACTTGATTGTAAGTTTGTTTCCAAACATAACTGGAGTTGCAAACCTTAATTGCTATGCCTTTGGAGTTGGAGAGTTGGAACTATCTCTTGGAAGAGATGTGAGTCTCCGTTCATCCTGTCTAACTGAGGTGCCTGTGTTGAGAACCTTATTGCTTGACATGGAGCCAGTAAAAAAGCCACCTCCAGAAGGCAATTCTGCCTGCCGCTAGTGACCATGGAGAGTTCTGGGTGACTATGTGCCCAAACACCTTAACCAAGTGCCTAAGAGTTAGATGGGTTGAATCTAGGTGACTTTAGCTCTCTTGTACAGGCTTTTGCTATGGCTGCAGATGCTGTCATAACAAACTTGCTGCTATGATGGGAATGCCTGGCTACTTTTTGCAGGAAAGATCTTGTGTGGCAACCACAAATGGCTACTTGGGTAGCGTTTGAGAATTGCTGTATTGATTCTGTAGACCAGCTTTTAAAGCAAATGTACTCAAGAGACAAGCAAGGTAGGAGCAATGGTTGCTGCTCTGAAATTACTTCTTCTGCCTGAGTGTGCAGAGATCTTGTCTAGTAGGTAAATGCTTCTTACCATCTATCTGTCATTCACTCATGGTTGGTAGGGTAGTTCATTTAAGAACAGCTGCTTTTAGCTTATCCAGTGTGCTCTGTGCTTGCTAGCAAAGAGACCTCATTCCTGCGAGAGGTTCTTGGCTTGATTAGAAATTGTCTGGCAGTGTGCAGTGTTAGTATGCCCTGTAACTGAATCTGCCTGGAGGTATCTAATTATTAACTGACTTCAGTACCACATCAACCTTGAGTAAATGTATCCTCTGTACAGGATTTTAGCTCTGTTCCCTTCTGCATAGTGAATATCTAGAGAAATAAAATGTCACCCAGGATTTTTATTTTATTTTATTTCCGTGAGCGTGTGTGTGTGGCTTTGGCTTTTTCCAAATGTGAAAGTGTGGGCTGGATACACTCGGTGCATGGCTTAGAAACATGGGACTGGAAAGAACTTCCTGGGTCACCAAATCCAGTCCCCTGCTATTGCAGGCAACCGTGTCATATAATCCTTCTAATAAACTGATCAAGCTTAACCACCTGCTTGTAAGTGGCTTGTTTTCATGGAAGTTCTGTAACTCATGTTGCTCTCAACTGATGCAAGTAGCATATGAAATATGAAGTTAATCAAAAGGTCCTCCAGCTTAGCTCTAGGTTTATCATTACACTGGCTTAACCTACTTTCTTAAACGTTTTTCTTTGCACAACACTCAGGAAAGTGTTGAATCTTTACACCCCTTTGCTATGAAATAAGAGTTGGTGTGCTTGCTTATTTTTTTTATTTAAATGGAAAAGATGGATGTCTGGCTTGCTGAAATTTGTTAGATATGTTAACTGTCAAGGCAAGAAACAATTGAGTTACTTGTATTTGATACATAAACTTAAGGCTAGAATATACATAACCATTTTTAAAATACATCAACTTGCAGTGTAGTTTTATATTTAATACTGAAATTGTACTGCTAAAGTTTAAACTGCTGTTAATCATATTCCTCTTCTGATCATAATGAAAAAATAAAGGGTAAGAAAATGCTTAACATAGATTATTCATTATCATGCTTATTTTATTAATTGATTCTGGAACATAAGTCCTGGAAGATTGCCTGTAGGTATGAGGCATTTGCCGGGGGAAGGGGGTTGGTGGGGAAGAGGAGGAAGGGGTGTGTTAATCAACGGATATCATAGAAGGTTGTCTTGCCCCCCAAGCTTTGCCACTTCTGCAGCTTTGGGAGCTCTGGTGTTCCCCAGACGGATCTGCGGAGTGGATGGATGGCGGACTGCAGGGCTGGGCTGCGCTGTAGTAAGTGTGAAAACAGATCCTAGGTTCCAGGTCGCACTTCTAAATTAAAAACAACTGCTTCAGCCACATCTTGGCGCAGTTAACCAAAGAAATCACTGAATTACAGCTCTTTTTTTCCCCCCCCTCTGTTTGGAACTGCCTTATTACACCCCAGTTAGGGTTATTCCATTCTAGGCACGATGACAAGCGGACTGTGCGTGCTGTGGCAAGGCCATAGCTTGTCTTCCGATGGTGGCATTCGTAACTGAGTGAAGATGGGCAATGTTGGCGGGTGGCATCTGTCTTCCCCTTGGCACTTAGGAAAGCCAGTGGCATACTTGCATATACAGAGTAGGTGAACCTTTAAAATCAGTTTAGACAAACCCATGTAATGTTGTCTGGGAATTTTTACAGAACAATTTTGCAAATCCAGAATATATATATTTTTTTAATCAAATACAGGATTTCCAGTAATGAAGTAGATAATGAATTGTGGGAGGATTTTAACTTCCAAAGATTCCTGATGTTAGTGCTATAGAAAATCTGTATGAAGGCCCAAGTATTTAAGGATTGGTGTGTTGTTTTCTAAGAACCCTTCTCAGTAAGTATCCTAGGGGTGTATTTAGAGTATATTGGCTACCACTGATAATTTAAGCATAATATTAATGAATAAATCCAGTTTTGAATTGGATGGTTTGGATTGAAAGCGGTAAAATATGATCATAAATGACAGAGCTGTTGATTAGATAGATGCTAAGAGAATCTTTTATAGTCCCAGGGATGAGTAAGCCCAGCAGGTAGTTAGAAATAAATTAGCGCTCGTGTTGCACTTGTGTCTACTCCAAACAGTATCCAGGAACAGAGCAGAGCAAACCACTTTCTCATATCGAAGGGCTGAAGAGGACTCTGTCTTCATGCATTTCCCTGTAATATTTTTCCCACTGTAAAAGCAAGAAACCAACACCAAATGACTAAATTCCATGGGAAAAAGGGGTATAGTATGACAGGGATTTCTCCCAGATCCCTGTGGCACCAGAGATGCTTAGTGACACTAACACTATACGGCGATGTTACAAAAAAAGTGTTTAGAAACAAGCACCCCAGCATTGCCACCGATGACTAGGATAAAGAGATTGAAGGTTACTCTTCCCAGCTTCCTTGTAGGTGTTGGGCAAGGTTGGCTGTAGATGGCAGTGAGTTTGCTGCCGTATGCATAAGAACTTCTCATTCTGGTCTTTCATAGAAGCTTCCTTGGCACATCTGGGAAACCCTGTATTGCTCTCCTTGGGAAAAAAAAAAAAAAAAAACACTTCAATTTCAGTTGCCTCAGAAAGCAACATTTGCAGAAATACGGAAAGAATTAATCATAGTGCAGCCTTTTCTTGGCAATAAGATAGCTCTTAAAGTAATTACTGGTTCAAATATGTTATGAAATCTAGGCTGGTCACCTAAAAGTGAATCAAAATCTTTCCTGAATACATATATATATATATATATATATATATATATATTTCTAGATCTCCAGGTTAAATAATGAAGTATGTGCAAAACATGCTTGAGGGAAAGTCCCACGTGACTTAGCAACAACATTTAAAACAAGCAGTTAAAATGAACATGTTATTTGAATAAGAACAAATTGGATCATCTCAGCAAGCCGTAAAAAAATCAAGGTCTTTAGTATTCCCCATTTTAGTGGTCTGCAGTAACAATATTGACAGCACATCAGGATAATAATTATACTGAAGATGAATATAAAGCGCAAGAAAGAGAATACCTGAGCATGGGACTGGTTTGTAGTATTGTCTCATGGAGTATTTTTTGTCCAGAAAGCTATGGGTATTTGACTGACAGTTCTCTAGGCAAGAAGTCTTTTCCAGCAACAGTGTTGTCAATTTTTCATTAAAAAGGCAAAAAAAAAGGCAGAATAATCCACACAATAGTTCTGTACATATGTAAATGCACACACTTTGGAAGGCTCTTACTCTTCTTAAAGCCCCTTGCAGTCCTGAACTTGCCAAACATGCTCTGTCTCTTCTCACCCATCTTTACAATACATTAAAAAGAAAGGTTTCCTCCAGACATTCTGGTAGGAGACAAAACATGAGCATGATTTCAGATTTTTTTTTCCCTGAATCTCTTTTATTCAGTAAAATGTTTTATTATCACAGAATACTGAACTCTCTAGGAATCTGTGCGAGTGGCATGAAAATCTGTTTTTCAGGGATTTTGACTGAAAATTGGATGGTTATCTTCTAAATAACTTACTCTTTCCTTTAGATACTGATAGTGTAAAAATTCCTATACACAAATGCCAGATACCCTGACAATTGCTCGTATTCATAGTGCACATGATGCTGTCCACCCTGTGTAGCTGAATTAAAGTTAATTTCATCAGTTAAACAAATCAACAGATAAAATCTCTTTGCACTACCAAAGAAGATATTGTATTCTACAGCACAGTTAACATGAGCGTAATTAACTTGTGAAAATTACCTGATTTATTTTCCATCAAATTAATCTAAAGGGGAAGGGAAGTAAT